ATATATATATATATTTAAATCTATTTAATTTGTAAATAAAATTTTAAAGTAAATTACAAGCTTTTATACCTATGAACTTATAAAAAATGTTTAATAAGTCTATAAACTTTTAATTTTATGTATAATAAGTATTTAAACTATAAAAGTATCTAATAAGTTGATAAATTTTTTTTCAAAATTTCAAATTTTTTTAAATTAATTGATCTATTAGACATAAAATTGAATTCGGTAAATAAAGACCCTAAACCTTTAATTTTGGTCTAATAAGTCTTTAAAGTATAAAAGTATTTAATAATCAATAAATTTTTCTTTAAAAATTTCAAAAAATTTTTAAATTAACTGATATATTAGACATAAAATTGAATTCGGTAAATAAAGACTCTAAACTTTTAATTTTGTGTCTAATAATTCTAAAATAAAAAAAAATGTTGTATAGGTCAAAGACTTATGGACACAATGTTTAAAGTGTACCAATTTATTTATACACTCAAAATTTAGAGATTGATTAAAAAAATTGAAAATTTAAGAGTTTATCATGTATTTTTTTTGAGGTGTAGAATGTGATTAGACATAAATTAGAAAAAAGAAAAATGGGTTTTTTTTTTTTATAATTTTTATAGCAAGAAAAAATGGGTTAAAGTAGGAAGAAAGGTGGGTTTATTAAATTAGGATGGAATTTCAGGGATGAGACGGACGCCCATTGTTTTGTTCTAAACCTATGGTTTCCTACCCGCCATAATTTTCTCACAAAAAAACAACAGTTCAAAAAACAAAGAAAGTAAAGGGTGATTTATGGGAAATAATAAATTGAGGAGTGGTTTGCAAGTTATTACCGGGTTAAATTACCCTTTTAATCCCAAAATTTAGTTTTGATTTCAATTTATCATCGTGAGTTTTTGAAATTTTAATTTGATGTATATGATCGGGTAAAATCTCACTTTTTAATTCTCATATGGGATGAGTAAAGGGATTAGTACATTGATGATTTATTTAAGATCCTAATTACATAAAAGGATGGAATGTATATACACATTTGTCATGTATAGTTTAAGAGGGTACTCATCGTATAAATTACTTAAATAGCCTATTGTATTTACAAATTAATTTAAAATTCATTTTAATATGCAAAATTGATTAGTTGGAAGGTTATAATTTAGATCGCATAATTTTAATTTTAGGTAGATCATACTTTCCAAAACAAATTAAAACACCAAAACATTAAAAACAAAACCCTAAATTCCTCAAAATTGAAATCATAACCTCCCAAAATATCTCTAAATCCCGTCCAAAAATATCTCAAATTCGAAATCAAGAACTTTTTTCGCTTATCCATGAGAAGTTTAAAATTTCAATTTTGGAGGACCCTTTCTACATTACTATAGGATATATGCGTTTATATCTTCTTATATACAACTATAAGATATATACACATATACAATATATACCTATATATACGAATATAATCAGGAATACTAAGAATATGAGATATTTAGAACTTCAATTTTCTATACACAAACAAAATATATTCTCATATATACCAATCTTAACGGAAGACTAATAATTACAAATGGCATGGATGACCCTTTCTACAGAACTATAAGATATATGTATACACATATAAGATATATTCACATATACGAATATATACGAATATAATCAGGAATACTAAGACTGTGAGACGTTTTGAACTTCCATTGTTTGTACACATACATAAAATATATCTCCATATATACCAATCTTAACGGAAGACTAATAAATATCAATGGTAAAAATAGAAGGGGACAGGAGACGAGGAACGCGTTGTCGATGGAAACTTTATTCAGCGACGGAAATGAACGATGTTGGAAACGTGCAAAAGAAATAAATATTGATGTATTGGAAATAAATATTGGAAACTCCCAGTTTTGTTTTGTCAATCTTTTTATCTTAAAAGATTGATGTATATTTAATAATTTTGATAGGCCAAATTTATATATTGGACGGAGATTGTCATTCCCAACTTTACTTTGAATTTGATTTGAGCTATACGCTAAATTTAAAAAAAAAAAATTATTTTAAAAAGAAATATATATTTCCAATTCCAACGGCACAGCCAAATTGGCGTCACCCAATTGGCTTCAAGTTTTGTGCCTTTTTCTTTGTAATCATTAGTTTACTTTAGTAAAATTTATTGATTCCTTTTGTTTGTAAACTAATAATTATCTTCTTGGTGGGATGAAATATCATTGCAATAAAGAAAAAGGTTGGCCTCGTCATTAATTTATCCGCCTAAGTATTTTATCATCAACTTCCTCCTCCTCTCATTCTTTTAAGAGTCCATCCACCTCTTCAATTCGAGTTTTTTTAGATTCAGGAAATTCAAAATGATAATATATTAAAAAAAAAATCCTCAAATATCCCCTCACTTTAATTCTCATTACGCTTAAAATAGATTTGAATCTAACATGAACATCAACACGTCAATTAAGAACAGTGGATTAAATTTTGTATTATGTTGGGTCAAATTTAGGCATCAACATTTTCTACTATTTCAAAAAGATTTCAACCCATTTCAAAATCTAATTGTCCTGTACGCCTTCGTTTCCAAGTTCTTGGTTACCTGCACAGAAATTTAACACTGGTTCTTTGATCTATACTTTAACATGCGATGATTCCCTTGACATCCAGTAACTAGTGGGTTCTTCTTAGATGATATCTCATAAACTTGGAACAATTGATCTGTTTGTTTGTATATGCCTCTTTATCATATCTTTGGTTCATTTTTTTGTCTTATTTATAAAATTTTTGTTTCAGATTTTTTTTTTTCATTTTTTCCCAAAACGTAAATAAAATAATTATTTTACCATACATGATTTATAAGATACATAATAAAAATTTGTAAAATGTTTAACATAAAAAGTTTAATATTTAATATAAAATTAATTTTCATATAAGAATTTTACTTGTTCAATTCAATAAGAAAGGGATAACAAAGAAATAATAAGAACATCACCTAAGGAACTTTAGTTTTTATTTTTTAGAAATTAGGCTAAGATTTCTAAATATTTTAAAAATTTGAAATTAAAAAAAAAACAAAAATTGTAATCAACAGAGGTTATAGGCAGGCAAGTAGTTTCTTAAAATATGTTTTAGTTTTGAAATTTTGGTTAATATTTAAAAAAGTTTTTTTTAAGGAGTAGAGAACCCAACCAAATAAAATAATTAAAGCAATATTTCACATTCAAATTTCAATAAAAAATTTGGCTTCCCTTTCATCACTTGTTATTGTGGGCCAATTGAGGCCTCAAATATAGAAAGAAAAAAAAAGGCTATGAATATCTCTCCAACTTGTCAATTGTACAATTGTGAAGACCAAATTAATGTGTTGGGCTTGGGGTTTGACAACTTGGCCCAACAAAAAGTAACGAGCCCAAGTCCCAAGGCCCAACTTTTGAGGGGGAAGTTTTGGAATTTGGATATTTCTTTTCTGACCTAGTTTATGAAAATATTTACAAAATTAGTCTAAGCTCTACAATCTCACATGTTCTCATCTTTTTCCAAAAAAAAAAAAAAAAAAGTTATTTTCATTTTTTTATAAAGAAATCGTAGCTGGATTTATGATTTATTTTGATAGTGAAGTTGAAATAAAATGTAAACTGTAATCTGTAGTGACTAAAAACTAGAATAGATTCATAAATTTCTGGGTCATTTACAACAACTTTGTTTCTTTTCTTTTTCTAAATATGACATTTTTAGAAATTGGAAAATAAAAGCAATATATATATATATATATATATATATATATATATATATATATATATATATATGAAAAAGTCAACAACTTCAAATAAACTGTTTACACTTCTTTGATTTTGTAATTATAAGTTTTAGTATATTGCATAAAACATGAATCCAAACAACCCATTGACAACGAAATCTTTATATCAAGCATCCTAAAATACACTCATAATTCTCAATTTAATCTTTAATCTTTTCAAATGCTCAATCGATGAATTATTAAATTATTGTTATTTATACTCTTTTTCCACCATTCAATGCTTCTAAATCATGATATTTAATTCATTCACAAATCACCATCTGCCTATTAAAAAAATCTATTTCTTTTTAAATGATATGTCAAAATAACGTGTCCACATATCCAAATACGTTAATAAAATCATATTTATTATAATATGATGTGACCGAAGCCTTCAAATATGAACACATTTTTCAGTACCAAGAATGTGACGAAGAAAGCTACAGAACGAGGGGTAATTTGGTAAATTCAGCGAGAAAAAGGAGCAATAATTTGAGGTGACGCTAGGACTTGGCGTGGCATCACATATCGATAAGCACTGAGTCACTTATTGATCAGTTGATGCCACGCCCATCCTTATCCTTTCATTTTCTTTTTTTCGAAATGACCAAAGTTACCCCTGACCCTTTGCCAAGTGTCATGTGGAGGAAGGGGGTTGCCTTGTCATTTTTAACATTTTTTCCACAAAATACCATTCGAATATTCCAACAAATTAAATATGTTATTCTTATTTTTATTGCATAGTTTTCTTTTGGATGTCGAATCGACAAAACTTCACTTCTCAACCACTCCTCACCAAACCATGGTTAACATGTGGTTGAAGGGATGGAAATTGAAGTTTTGTTATGGTTAAGGGATGGTTTAAAGGTGAAGTGCTTTTTCAACGAGCATTTTTAGAAATCACTTGATATTTTGAAAAAAAAAAAAAAAAGAAACTGAGAAAAGTGATTATAATTCCGTCAAAATAACCCTTTTGTCGGCTAGAAACGACTTTGCTTCAAAATTATCATATTTTATGTATTTTAGAATAACGTAAAATAATATTTAAGAAAACATTTTAAAAAAGTGTTGAACAAAACATTAGATAACTAAACACTATGAAAATTAATAGAAAAATAATATGAATGACCACCTCCACAAGTGAGTACCATGACCATATAATAAGCTACACAAATTCAAACTTATTAAGGAAGTTAAAATAGAATTAAAAAATATAAAGACAAATTTCCATTTCTAAACAAAATTGTCGGTTAAGAAATAGTAGATTTCGAAACTATACCAAAAATCAGATCTCGACTATGCTTCCATAGGCTAATTTGTGACAACCAAAAAGTTACGCTGGAATTTGAAAATTAACATACAGATCCTAAAAACATTGCCCAAAGAAAAAAAGTATTCCTCAATCATACACAGCAAGATCCTAGTTTCCACCACCAAGAACAAAAAAAAACCCACAATGGCGTTCTTCTAGTAATCCTTTTCTTTTTCCCTCAAAATTTGACCCTATTTTTTCCCTTTCTTCTTCATTGAACTCTTCTTTTCAGTAAATTTTCCGGCGAGAATTCCGAGCAAGATCTCTTCCTCTGCAACAGAGAGGAGCTGAATCCGAGCATGGAAGTTCCCATGTCGAAATTCAGTACAATGTCTTCCAACTGGTTCCCTCCCAAAACGACGGCGTTTCTCGGCTTCGATCCGCCGTCCACAAATCCCAAAC